ACAACATCTTTGTTGGTATGTGGTGCTGAGGATCGAACCCGGGCCGCACGCATGCTAGGCGAGCGCGCTACCGCTTGAGCCACATCCCCAGCCCTCCCTTATGAAATTTTAAAAATGTACTCCCTCATTAGTTTTTAAATATGTGGAATGGCACAATACATATTTGGGGGCACCCATGAGAGAAGCCATTGAAATTATTCACACTGCTATTTCTACTTTTAGAATATCCTTGATGTACTCTGGGGTAAGTAAAAAAAATAAAAAGAATACCAAAATTAAAGTAGAATAGAGGAGAAAAGGAAGGAGGGTGGGAGGATAATGAAATTGGCTAGTAACAACAAACATGATTTTTAGGGTTTCCTTGCTAATGTCACCAGATTATATATTTTAGCTCAATGGCACTGGGCTACTGGAAGTGACCAGAAAATGAGTGGAGTGTCCTAATGGGTCCCTGTTAGGTTTTCAACTAACCTGTGATTTGAATGGCCCACTAGAAGGGCTGATGCCCCAGCCTGGCTTGGTAAGGCTGGCTGTGGGGGGCTTACTGCCTATTCTTCTCTTTCTTTCAAGATTTCTCTTGAATGTCTAAGAACCTCTAAGAGTCAGCAGAACAAAAAACTCATCAGATTACACAGATTAAAAACAGAATAATTCTGAAAACGACTTAATCAAGAGCATGTTATCAATCTGTTTCCTGACAGGTAGTATGAACCTTAGAATAAATAAAACTCCTGTTCTCCTGTATATTTTAAATGTTTACTGTACTGATTTGAGGGGTTTTGAAAAATCTCAGTTTTAAAATATCCCTTATTGTTCATCTAAAATTGCCCATTCTCTTAGTCTTGTATTTGATACTGTTGAAGACTACCCAGCAGTAAGAGTAGGCAAAAGTTTCAGGGGCATTTTGGTAGAGACACATTGAGTTCATTTACTTGGAAAGAAAGATTTTATTCTAAGGTGTCTCTATTTTATCATTGAGACGTATTCTCAAAGCAAATCTTCTCTAAGATACTTAAGTACTCAGGATAGGACACATCGACTTATTAAAAGTTACAAAGCCTAAGGAAATCGAGCACAAGTCAATAATACCACAATTCAGAATTCCAACATTTCCACATGATATCTTCACTACGAAATGCAAAAAGACTAATAATGTGGGGCTTAGGATGTGGCTCAGCCGTAAAGTGCTCGCCAAGCATGTGCGAGGCCCTGGGCTTGATCCTATTTTATTACAAATAAAATAAAGGTATTGTATCCAACTACAACTGAAAAAACACCCAAATAAAACATTAAAAAAAGACTAGTAATGTTTGAGTGAAATGATCTCTAATCTGTAAATGGAAGACTTTGGAATAGGAAGGAGTTAGTACAGAGAGCTGCACCCCAGGATTGCTTTGTTCAAGCTTAAAAATTTAATTGACCATCATTTGGGTGGAGGGCAAGGATGAGGGATGGGTATAGATTGTTCACCCTCCCCCCCCCAAAAAAAACCTCAAAAAATACAAACAAATTCCAAAACAAGAAACTTCTAATTAAAATACTTTAAGTAGATTGTTTTAGATGTTTATTTGATAATGAAAATGTGGTCAGCTAGCATGAAGTATTTCTCTTCATTACAAAAATTCCATATATTAAGAATTGAACAATGG